AGCGTTAGTAAACAAGCAATCCTGGGCAGCTAACCATAGAAACTGGCGGACTCGCTGCGGCCCTACCCACTTCCAGATTAACGACCTCAACCTATCACCACGTCGCCCTCCATTCGGATCTATCGCCGAGTAAGCAGACTTGGTCAAAAACCTGCCATTCACCGACAAGCCCCAAAAAAGCGAATCCACCCCGCCCATACTAGAAGGCGGCAGAATAGCAAAAATACGAAGTAAGCATGTGGCCGGTAACAAGCCTTGAAACAGTGGCCAATTCCACTCGCCATCTGACGTCACGTACGCCGCCACCGGCGAATAGAGCAGCGCCTCAGGAACGGGAGTCGTGGTGAGCTTGATCAGCGGAGTATCAAAATTAAGCCACCTATCCCACCAATACCGAATCATGTGACCATTACCCAAAGTCCATCGACATCCCAACAACGTAGCCTGTCACACGTCTCGGATGGATCGTAGCACAGTAGCACCTCGGGGAAAGGTGAAATCCTCGCTCCTCATGTCTAAAGGGTTCAGCTTATATTTGACCCGAAGAACTCTACACAAGAGTAGGTTCGGTTCTTTTAAGAAGGTCCATGCTAGCTTCATAAACAACGCACAATTCATAAGACGTTGATCCTTCATACCCAACCCGTCATCCTGCCTTGGCTTACACACCTCAGACCAAGAAACTAAACTGATTCGCCTAGATGAGGAGGTCCCTCCCCAAATCAAATTTCAGCACTTCCGTTCCAGGCTATCACACACCCCAACCAGAAGAGAAGCGGTCTGCATGGAGAAATATGCAAGCGAGCTCACGACCGACTGAGCCAACATAACCCTACCCGCCATAGAAAGCGACGAAGCCTTCCAACCGGCTAGCCTTGTCTCAACTTTTCAAGGATCTCAGCATACGTAGCCTTGGTCACTCGACTGTGGATTAGAGGCATCCCCAAGTATTTACCGAAATTATAAACTACCTCGAATCCCAATAGCCCGCCCAACAAGGAACGAACATCTTCCCTAATGTTATGAGAGAAAAATACTTGTGAGGCCGCGCAAAAATTTTGCAGCACATCCTTTAGACAATGCGTCTGGGCAGGGCTCGCTTCTATGAAAAAAAGTAGGTCATCAGCGAACATCAAGTAAGGAACCGAAAGTTGTCCCCGCCCTACCGTAATCGGCTTCCGGTCGCCACTGGTCACAGCCACATCAATCATATGCGCCAAACGTTCAATGCACAACACAAAAAGGTAGGGGGACATCGGGTCGCCCTGACGAATCCTCC